TTGAAACAAAGTGAATGATTTGTTGAATGTAAAACTGATGATCTTTTTTGTAAACCTTTACTCAATTCACAAGGAAAAGTCCCCAAAACAATACAACGGACATACCTCCCCCCACCAAAAAAACCCCCACAACAAATACTTAATTCTAGAGTGATCAAAGACCTAAATGTAAAACTTAAAATATCAACAAAGAAAAAATTAGGGAGTGCTGGTTTCGTGCTGCAGGTTAATGCGCTGAACTGCAAGGCTGGCAGTTCAAGCTTACCAGCTGTTCCTCGGAAATTCTATACAGGGTTGCTATGAGTTGGGAAAGATTCAACAGCACTTAACAACAATAATACATGGCATTGGGAACCTTGGTGGCATAGTGGGTAATGTGTTCAGTTGCTAACTGTAAGATCAGAAGTTCAGGTAGGAAAAACATGAAGCTCTCTGCTCTTGTAAAGGTTTACAGCCTATACAGGGTCACTATGAATTGGAATCCATCAACGGCACACAAACACCACCACCAGCAATATATGATACAAATACACTAAAACATCTAAAAACATACAACCAGCTCAGGATAAACTAGGAGACTGGGACCTCCTACATAGGAAGCATTTACGTGCATAAAAAGACCTCACCAAATGAGTAAAAAGAGAACCTACAAAATGATGAAACAATTTTGACAATGATATAGTAGACAAAGAATTTGTCTCTGATATTTATAAAAACTTCAGCACATCACCTACAACAAAAACCAAACAACCTAATTAAAAGATGGGCAGAGGACAAGAATGAATACTTCACCAAAGAAGACTTTCAGGCAGCCAACAAACACATGAAGAAATGTTTGTGGTCATTATTCATTGTTGTTGCTGCTTTTAAGTGCTGTCTAGCAGTTGTTCGAACAGAACATCGTAACACTGCATGGTTTAAAATTAAGAAAGTTGTGCGACAGGGTTGTATTCTTTCACCATACTTATTCAACCTGTATGCTGAGCAAATAATCTGAGAAGCTGGGTTCTATGAAGAAAAACGAGGCATCAGAATTGGAGGAAGACTCATAAACAACCTGCAATATGCAGATGATACAACCTTCTTTGCTAAAAGTGAAGAGGACTTAAAACATTTACTGATGAAGATCAAAGAGCACAGCCTTCGGTATGGATTACATCTCAATGTAAAGAAAACAAAAATCCTCACCACTGGACCAATAAGCAACATTCTTATCAACGGAGAAAAGATTGAAGTTGTCAAGGACTTCATTCTTTTTGGATCAATTGTCAACATTCATGGAAGCAGTAGTCAAGAAATCAAATGAGGTATTGCATTAGGCAAATCTGCTGCACAAGACCTTTTTAAAGTGTTGAAGAGCAAAGATGTCAGCTTGAGGACTAAGGTGCACCTCACCCAAGCCATGGTATTTTCAATGACCCCATATGCATGTGAAACCTGGACAATAAATAAGGAAGACCATAGAAGAATGGATGCTTTTGAGTTATGGTGTTGGAGGAGAATATTGAAAGTGCCATGGGCTACCAAAAGAACCAATAGATCTGTTTTGGAAGAAGTGAAGCCAGAGTGCTCCTTGGAGGACAAGATGGGCAAACTTCGTCTCTCATATTTCAGACATATTGTCAGAAGGGACCAGTTGCTGGAGAAGGATATCATATTTGGTAAGGTGGAGAGTCAGAAGAAAAGAGGAAGACCCCCAACGAGATGGATCGGCCAAGTGGCAGTATCGATGGACTCAAGCATGGCAACAGTAGTGAGGTTGGCCCAGGACTGGGCAGTGTTTCGTTCTGTTGTGCACAGGGTCACTATGGGTCGGTACCGACTCGATGGTACCTAACAACAACAGTGCTATATAGAGTTTCTGAGACTTCAAGTCTTTGTGGGAGCAGAGAGTCTCATCTTTCTCCTGCAGAGTAGCTGGTGGCCTCAAACCACCAACCTTGTGGTCCACAGTTCAGTGCTTATCTTATGATTGTTTTGTTGTTAAGTGCTGTCAACTCAGTTCCTGCATAGGGTTTCCAAGGAGCATCTGGTGGTTTTGAACTGCTGACCTTGTGCTCGCAGCCCAGTGCTGATCCTACAGCACCACACTAGAAATCCGAACCTATGGAGCAGGGATGAAATTATAAAAACTACTTAGATATAACCAAATTCCTCAAGGGAATGAGTCCCTGAGCCTAGGGGTCAAGACCCGAATCTCAGAGGACTCCAGGGTCAGTTGGAATAATCCACAAAAACAATGTTCTCCATCCTACTTTGGGGATGTAGAATAAGACTGGGATCTTAGACGGTTGTGAAGAGTCATCTAAGGTGCAACGAAATTACTCTGTCACCATATGGATCAAAGAAAGTCTAAGACATAAGGAAACAATTAGTCCAAAAGGACTAATGGACCAGGTGAACCCCAGCCTCTATGGCATTGAGACCAAGAGAACTAGATGGTTCCAAGACAGTGCTGCAGACAACTCTGAAAGAGACCACAATGGGAGCACATGCATACAGTGGGAGAACAAGGAGGAACAGAACTCTAAATTATTAAAAAGATCAGGCTACCTGGTCTGATACAGACTGGTGGAAGCCCCCAAACTATGACCCACACAGATCATTTAAGCATGAAACAACTCATCCCAGTGGCTTGACTTTTAGGGAAACAACACACAGGCTTGTAAGGTGAACAATAAGCCCAAGGAAGTATGCACTTCTTAGAACACTCAACCATATGAGATCAGAAAAGCAGCATCTGCCCAGGGATAAAGCTCAGCAGGCAGGAAATTTTGGAAAGATGGCTAGATGGAAACAGTTAAACACAGGCAGGAAGTAGGAAGAGCGTTGTTGTGTTGTGAGGATGGCAGTCAATGTCACCAACCACAATGTATCAGAATTGTTGGCTGGAAAACCAATTTGCTCTGTAAACTTTCACCCAAATCACAATAAAAAATTTAAAATAATATCTTTGCTGCTTCACTAGATACAAAGCTGTGGGTGGAATTATGTTTATATTCTGATAGACATTTTCATATTTTTGTAGAACTAAAATTAATCACGTTCTTTCAATCATACTTGATATAATAAGATTAAAGTAAAAAGGCTTTCCAAGGAGTGTTTAAGCTTATTGTCACAAAGATGTTCTCTTACTTCTCTAATTGAGGTGACACTGGACCGGACAATTTTGTTTCATTTTCAATATTGTGGTCTATAGTATTGATGATCATAAATATTTTACAGAAACATCCCAATAATAATTTGATCTAACCTTCCTCAAATAATACTTCTGGTTGGAATATTAGTTCTGGATGTGAAATACACTAAGTACAAATTGACTCACTGTTGTCCAATGGGTACACACATATGCATGTGTGCATACAGCCCAGGCATGCACACACAGACATGTATGCATTATAACAAATGCATGCATGCAAACGCACACACTTAAAAATCTCCAAAAAAATGAGATGCTGAGGCCCTAAGAAATTCTTCTGAATTAGACATCTTAGATGGTGGCCTAGGATAGACACAATACATAACTCATCCATAAGACCTTCATTTATATGGTTTTAACATAAGTCTTCATTGTCTTGTACTTTTTCTTGGAAAGGAAAGCTTCTTCAGGGTCAGAGTGCCAGACAGGCAGACAACCGTTTTCCTCTGAATTAAAGTAAGTACATCCTGAAGTGTGACCAATGGTAGACCATGAGAAAGAAGGAAACAAACCTGGCACTTTCAGTTCCATTAGAGCCTAAAAGATCAGAAAAAGCTAAGACAGAGTGGACTTTGTTTAAAGAAACAATACACTCACAACCCTCTGTTGCTTCACATTCTGAATATCTGGAGAACCAGCTCTGACTGTCAAGGCTCTGTAAACCAAAAGCTTTGAAACGCTGGCTACAAGCTTGTCCTCCTACATCATAGTCACTGGTGAGGTTCTCTGTTGTAAATTTTGCTTGCTTTTATTTTGTCCTGTCCCAAACTTGAAATCTTCAGAAGACCCCAAGCTCTAGTACGTGCTCCACATAAAAATAGATTATTTTACAAATAACTTGATTTCTTCCCCATCAATCACAAACTGGAGTCCTGGTGTGGCACTGTAGGATAAGCATTGGACAGCCACACAAATGATTGGTGGTTCAAACCCACCAGCAGCTTTTCTGAAACCTTCTACTCATAGTGTTGGTATGAATCTGAACCAACTTGATGACACTTAATAACAACCCCAAACTGGCATCTTTCTCATTGAGGCATGAAAACAGATGAAAATTGGGGTATAGATCATTTCTCTTGTGATACAGACTACTTTAAAGTGGTGTGCAGGAGCGAATGATCAAATAAGTAAGCACGAGCATACTTGTGCTTACTTATTTGTAGTGAATAGTTTCACATGGGTTAAACATGCCAAATTGCTCACTATAGATCACTAAGGAAGCACAAGTCAATTCGTGCTTATCTTGCTTAGTGGAAACTCACTCTGTGTGGGATTGTAAGTTTGAAAAGAGGGTCTGATTCTGTCGTAAGGTACTGTGGAATTGGGAGGGAGACTGAAACCAAACAGACCTAGAAGCAGAAACTATGATGTGATGAAAAAATTGTGAAATTGTTCACTACAGATTAGTAAAGACAAATAAGCCTATGCTTACCTTGCTTATTGGGTAACCTAATACTGGTATTGAGCAAAGTACCTGAGGCATTTGTCTACCAAGCCATTAACATGGAGAAAGAGTTTGCTGGGCTAAATAAACTTTCAGGAAGCAAAACTACTAAGATAAAATAATACTTACAGAGATGTGCAGGCCCTTTCACAGTAATCCTCACATTTCGACTTCCTAAAGGGACAGCAATGGCGTTTTCTTCCCCTGGAAAGGACAGAAGACCAATGTAGTAAAATTTATGCATTAACCCATTGATTCCGCTTCACAAGGACCGTATAAGTAAAGTAGAACTACTTCAGAGGGTTTCCAAGGCTGTAAATCTTTACGGAAGCAAACTGCCACGTTTGTCTCCTGAAAAGCAGCTAGCAACTTTGAACCACCACCTTCTGGTTAACAGCTCAAAGTTTAACTCACTATGTCACTGGTGCCTGCATATACAAGGATTGTTGTTGTCGTTGTTTAGCGCCGTTGAGTTGGTTCCAACTCATAGCGACCCTGTATAGGGTTTACAAGGAGCAGCTTGTGGGTTTGAACTGCTGACCTTGTGGTTCACAGTAAAGTGCTGATCCTACAGCACCACACCAGGAATCCATACACACATAAGTAAACCTGTAATTACCAGGTTTAGTTGATCGTGAACAGTTTTGCATGGGTTTCATGGGTGAAAAAGTTCACTACACATTACAAATGAACATTAAGTAAGCGTGCTTACTTTGCTTACTGGGTACTCAGTCCGTCAGGGATTGTAAATCTGAAAAGATCGTTTGATTCTAAAGGAAGGTGCTATGCGGTTGATGCCAGTCATATTTCAAAGCAGAATGTTTGATTTGGTGAAAAACTGTGAACTTGCTTACCACAGAATAGTAAATAAGCACAAATAAACCTGTTCTTACCTTGCTTACTGGTTACATGCAACAGAAAACCTTGAACACTACCTAAATGTTCAGCAATATGGGAAGGATTAGTAAACAATGGAATCTTCATGCTAAAGAGTCGTGATGGCAGTGGTTAAGCAATCGGCTGTTGACCAGAACATCCATGTGCGGTTCAAACACACGAGCTGCTCCTTAGAGAAGAGGAATCTGCTTCCACAAGATTTGTTACCTTGGAAGCCCTGCAGCCAGCTCTAGTTTATCCTTTAGGTTGGTTATGAGTCAAACTCAACTCGAAGGCACAGCATTTGGGTTTTGGTTTGGACATATTCATACATAGGAAGGCTCTGCAATTAATAAAAGTAACGCTAAAAAGCAAAACAACTGAATGTGGGAAATCACCAGTGTAAACTGATGAGTAAAAAAAGAACAAGTTAGAAAGCAATACAGATGATACAGCATCATTTTAGTGAAGCATATGTATTTAAATACATTTATATTAAGTTTTACATTTGAGGAGGCTTCAAAAAGTTTGTAGAAAAT